AAACAACCAGGATGGTCTAAGTTAATGTGTGGCTGTATCACTTTTTCACTTTCTCTTTATCAATGGGTAAAAATGATTTTAAACATTTTATTGTCTGCATTCCTCAGTCTGCCCAGCTTCTTATACACATTACCTCCATGTGGCTGGTTCGTTTTTGATTCACATATTTTACTCTGTATTTTCCCCAAAGCAGATGGCTTTTACCCTCCTCCAGTCTGACTCCTGACATTGCTGCCAAATTACTATGTAGGTCTGACAAAAGTAGAGCAGGGGTCTAACTGGGTCGGAGCTCCGTGAGCGCCGTTTCTGACCACTTCCAAACATTTTCATTGAGCTCCAGGACTTCATACAATCCTATCCTCTGTCGGATCAGACAGTAAATCGTGCCCGGCCTGTTCTGGCCCTCTTATGTCTGCCTCTATTGCTTTTTTGGTATTGCTTTCTAGAAACAGAGACCATCATCCATTTGAGACGACCTTACCAAATTGCTACTACGCTTTGGTTTCATTGCCTAATTTGCACAATTTGCATAGCTCAAAATATGTACTTTGCTAGCTGGCTCCTGAATACACCTTTTTAAATGATATAATAAATAAATCCATTGGTGTGTTGGTGTTCACTGTAAATGCACCTTTGCAGCCACTTCAGCTTGGGAAGCAAAAATGTTGATGTTACTGGTCTATTTTGTCTTTTGTCAGCAGCTGTGTAATTTAAGCTATTTTTTTCTTACTGTATATTGCAAAGAAAAAAAAACAGATAGTTAAACATCACTTGCTGACAATCATCACCCAAAAAATAAATCTGAGGATCTGCAAGGTTTGAGGAAATGGGGAGTTGGCTGGTGTCCTGTGTGTTCCAGGAACAGACACTTAAGAGTCATAAACTGTCAGATGCAGAATGCTAAAGAGACAACATCAACCACTAAGTCATATAAACTGGCTTTATTAAACATTAGATCTCTGTCAGGAAAATCCCTTTTAATTAATGACTTTATTATTGACAAGAATGCTGATGTTATGTTTTTAACAGAAACATGGTTACATGAACTTAATGAAGCACATATACTGTTAGAGTCGTCTCCTCCAAACTACAAAGTGCCCACAAAGTCATTCCAACCCGGAACATAGATCATCGGCATCATAATACATTTCATATTATTTGCCCCAAAAAAAAAAACTTCTTTTCAGATTCGTCTTCTTTAGGGACTTTGTCTGCATATGAGTCAGAAGCTTAAACAATGATGACACTGAAGTACACAAATGGTAAATAATGTTTTGTTTTATGAAAGCTGGAAAATTAGAGCAGACAGAAATTAAAATATAGCGAGTAAAAAAATATGAACAGAATATTCAAAGTATATTTCATTAAAAAACTTTAAGAATAATTGACTATTTGGATAATAGGTATTTTTGCTTTTTTAACAATTTATGAATTGGTTAGAATAATGTCTGTGGTCTTTGTAATATATAATATTGACAGAGTGGAATATGAATCTACGGAATAAGAGGAAAACTATCAGGTTAATTCCTCTGTTAGTGGCTGTAAACGCAGTGAGCTTAACTGAAAATATATCCCCCCTGTCCGCCGGTAGCTGGAGTCCTCAGTCTGCTCCACCCAGGGACATGAAAGACTGAGGGGTCAGCCCCCCCCCACCCCCTCCAGCTGAGAGAAACTGTTTGAAGTTGTGGATCCATCCAGCAACAAACTGTCCGTGCATCGGAAACTGATTCACCGGCATATTAAGCATTAATAGATCAAATATAATGAATAAGATTAGGATTTTACTTCTTTTTAAAGCCCAGCAATGAGGTCAAAAAGATAGTGGAATAAATAAAAAGTTGACATGATGTTAGAGCTTGGTTTTATTCAGTTTTGTTTTTATTTCATAGTCACATTGCTGTTAATAAAAAGAAACTATATATTTTAATGTAGTTTGGAGGGAAACCTGGAAACGTGTCACAGTTAAAGACGAAAAATAATAAAACAAAAAGGCAACAAATGTGTTTTACCACTGAGGACATTTTATCTTATGAGTTGATGATGATCTTCCACTACATTACTCTAGAACTTTCCATTGGATTAGTTCTCTCCCTCATCCAGGGGTGGATTCATTCGAATGTTTGGGCCGTTTTCTATTTCAGGTTTATTTATTCTTTTAACAGGAAGCTCTGCCTGCTGAGGAGTTTACTGTCATCAAACCCTGAATTGGTTGGAGATAGATGATGACATTAATTTTTCGATCAGGCCGACTTTCATTCTGATTGTTCGTTGTGTAGCTGTACTGGGGGTAACGAGGGGCAATCAGCCTCTAACGACCACCTCCCCATCAGGAATCGTAAGGTCGGGAGAAAATACGTCCTGTGTCGTGTAGTACACGGGGTAACAAGCGATTATTAGCTTATTATGACCACCTCTCGATCAGGAATTGAAAGGTTTGAGAGAAAATCAAACATGTCAGCCCTGTTTAGGTGTGGGTGACCAAATCCTGCTGTTGAAGCTATTACAAGCTGAGTCCCATATGGTTTTTAGACGTACATTGTGAGCAGGTAGCAGTTATGTTTGCACAAGATATTTGGTCACAAATGAAGCAAAGGATAAGTTCTCTGACAGTAAAATGAACAAACAATAAAGCAAACACCTTGTCCTGACAGCTACATCTTTTTTATTTGGGCCTTTCTTTGTCTTTCATTGTTCTTTCTTTCTTCAAATAGCTCTTTGCAAAGGTTGATTGTTCGCCATCCACTGCCTCAGAAGGTTTTCTATTCTGTGAGGCCAACAATCATTAAGTGTCTGTCAGGCTACAGTGATTAGTAATCCTTTATTATAAAGCTGCTTAATTAAAATTCTGTGCCGCTGACCCTGGAGACAGCCTTACTCAGATTAATTGTACCTTTGAAGCCACCAAAAGGTGCTCTGTGAAAGTTCATGCATGCTGGCTTTAGGTTTATGGAGTAACAGTTTAAAAGATGCAGCTTATGTCCTAACAAATAAGAGCAGAAATTAAAATAATATGAATGTTATTTAACAAATTCCAGGTACGTAAAAGACTTGAAGTTCGCAAACTTGACCATGAACAGTATGAGTAGAAACACAAATCTATAAATATATTGAGACTAGGTTTCTAGTTGAAAAAATAGGGTAAATTTAAAAGGTGTAAATATTTTGTATATATTCAAGGCCGTAAACACATTTAGTGTCTGATCTTCACAGACTCCAAATAAGGAACAATAAATTCCCTTTACTCAGAAGAGACTCCCAGGCTTCTCTCTCCAGATGCCTCCTCCAGCTCAGCTGGGGGGAGCTAAGGAGACATAGTTCCTCCACAGTTTCCCCTTGGCCTCCTCCATGCACAGAACACCTCCCAAGGGATGCTTCCAGGGGGAAGCCTACTTGTCTCAAAAAATCCTACTCCTCTGGAAAATCATCCCAAAAGGGCAAAGAATCATACAATGTATGCCCAGCTTAATGTCTTCTCCGGCTTCATAAAACACATGTGGACCAGTTAGGCAAACTCCCAAGCACCCTGCAGAGGGTGTAGAGCAGGTCGAGTGTTATGGGACAAGAACCACACTGTTCCTACGAAAGCATAAGTTTGACCATCAGCCAGACTCTCCAGCACCCTGGCATAGACCCTGTCGGGGAAGCTAAGCCGTTTGATCCCCTATACTTGGAACACACCCTTCAGTCTCCTTCTCATGCAGGGGAACCACCTCCCAGTCTGCCAGTCCAGGGGCTGGCAAAGTCCCTGACAAAGCATTGCACCAAAGCAAACATTCCAAAATTAGTCAGTCAAACCCCCCCCCCCTTTTTTTTATTTCCAACAAAAAAGAAAAATGAAAAGGGAGAACCCCCCCCCTTCTCAGCTCATCAGGTCTGAAAACCCCTGCATATAAACCAACAAGAAATATAATGGCAGGCACCTTCAGTCAGACAAACCTTCTAAGTAAAAACAACAGGAGAGAAAGCATTGCCATCAGACGGAACAGCAGGGGGCTCAGGACGCAGCCTTGAGCCTTGGGTTCATGTAGCCACCCTAGACAACTGTCAGCCTGCGTGATTGGTTAGACCCCGATAATATGACGACCACAAATTTTCACTGGTTTAAATGGAAAAAAAAACGTCTTATATTCAGGCAAATAAAATAGTTACACATTTTAAGTTTTAGAATATTAACCCTAAACTCACAACAAAAAACAGTAGTTAATGACCAATAGATAACTGCTATTTTCAAAAGGGACAGATGTGTGTCTCTGCAGCGATCAAAGAGTTTTCTTCATGTTTAAAGATAAAGACCAACCTCTTCACACATTTAGTGTGGATAGTATGCAAGACCACTAATAATTTATTTATACAGCTTTGATATATTTTATATTTTTGGATCCTTCGCAAGGACTTCAAGAAAATCTGTTCTATCTTCAGTGATCTATCTAGGAAATAAATCTTATTTATTTCCCTATTGATACCGGGCAATCAGTCCATTAGAACCAGAATAAACACATTAAACACAGTATTGGTTGAAATACAAATATTTCTAAAACAAATTAGGTGTAAAAGCAAAAAAAAAAAAAAGAAACAGCAGCAAAAACCATTGTATTTAATTTTGTAAGTTTCTAGGTGATAATTTTATACCTTTAAACAGATAAAAATGTGTCAGTGTTTTATTTTTTATTGTTTTGTCTCTGTAGTCTGATCTCAAAGCGCCCTACTAGGTGATCGGCAATCCCCAAAGGGATCATGCCCACAACTTTGGGACTCCATGGTGTACAGCAGGGGTCACTAATTAAAAATCAGTGCAGTCCGAATAAAGAAAATCATCAACCAGTAAAGGTCCGGAGACATTTTTAATTATAATCCGTTACTTTAAACAGAATTTAACACTGAAATAAAGTGAGGTGTTTATGCTTCCATGCTGAAGGTTGAATATACTTTCTTACTTTCATTTTTGGTTAAAACACTTGTTTTTTGGCTTGGAACATTGAGAATAACAGGTGAAAGGTTACCTGGATCTGATTTGGAAAAGGTGTCCATGTCCAACAGGTTTCTGCAAAAAACAAAAAGGGCAAGCAAGATTAAGAGTTTGAGCAGGTTTTATGTTCATAAAAATCATTTATGAACTGTTTTTGTCATCTTCAGCTGTGCATGTTCACAATTTGATTAATTGAAAATCACTTTGTGTAAATAAAAATGTTGTTGCAAATATTTTCAGAAATCATTCTTTGTTAAAACCTTCTAGAATTTATTTTTGCTTAGTTTTAAAGTCTTAGTATGAAGATGATTGGCTTTCTTAGTGCTGGGGGAACCAGTTTCATTTTGTCGAAATCGGGAGAAAACAAGGTTGATGGTCCCCTCCAGTGGCGTCAGGCCAGTAGAGGGGGATAGGGTGCCGCCCCACTCACCCAAAGACCTTGATTAAGACTTTAAAAAAACAAATAAAATTTTAAAACCAACATATTTTGAAAATCTATTAATGTATTTTTAGATGTGAAAGATAAATACTTAATCTTTAATGACGAGTAAGACTGTTTTCGTCCATTGTCAGTTTGGTGACGTATTTCACAATAATTTTGCTAATTCAGAAAGTTCAACTGGATCAAAGCAGTCTAAACCCGGTTCAGATTCCATGACTACCTCAGATACAA